ATCAACATATGTATACAAATATAAATATATAAATCTAAATCTAACTGGACCTACATAGGTATATAAATCTAAATCTATAAATCTAAATCTAAATCTAAATCTAACTGCATCAACATATGTATACAAAGATAAATATATAAATCTATAAATCTAAATCTAAATCTAAATCTAACTGCATCACCATATGTATATAAATCTAAATCTATAAATCTAAATCTAAATCTAAATCTAAATCTAATTGCATCAACATATGTATACAAATATAAATATATAAATCTAAATCTAAATCTAAATCTAGATCTAACTGCAGCTACATAGGTATATAAATATAAATATATAAATCTAAATCTATAACTAAGTATAACTGAAACTACATATGTATATATATATACATTTATATATATGCGTATATATTTATGTATTTATATATTTATATATTTATATATTTATATGTATATAACTGCCTATTTTCGAAGTGATATTGTGCATTCGATATCCATTTATATTATAAATCGAATTAGGCATCTCATGTGAAAATAATAAATAGTTAATCTTGCAATTGCTATTTTGTTAAACAATTCATATCATGTAGATTTATAATTGACAGAAATCAAGAAAGTGGCACCACTATTTAAAACGTGATTCAATGTTCGTTTAATTTCATACTAGATGAACAATGATTAAATAGAAGCTAACTAGTAAATATTAAATCAATATCATATAAGCCAATTGATATTGCCATTTGAGCCGAATTACTAAATATAAAAAAAAAGAAAAAGAAAATTTGAAGAATATTTGTCACTTACCATGTTGTTCATCTTTGATATTTATCAAAATAAAAAATAACTAATCTTCCACTAGGTATTTGTTGAATAAATTATACCATGCAGATTAATACTTGATAAAAACAGGGAATGCACCATCATTATTCTAATTGTGATCCAATGTTTGAGTAACTTCATATTCGATGAACAACGACTAATTGTAAAATAATCAGTAAACATATAGATATCGATCTCATGTAAGTCAATAGATGCTGTTCATCAAGCTGAATCACTAAATATAAAAGAAAAAGAAAAACGAAAGTTTCAAGAAGATATATAACTTACTACATTATTCGTTGTTTGATATCATTCGAAATAATAAATAATCATATTATTTAAACTGTGACGCACTATTTGAATACCTTCATACTAAATTAACAATGAATAAATGGAAAGTAACCAGCAAACATTGAAATCAATGTCATATGAGTCAATACGTGTTGTCGTTCGAATTGAATTACTAACTGTAAAAGAAAGGAAGAAAGAAAGAAATTTCCAAGAAGATATAACACTTACCATTTGTTCTTTGTTTGTTACTGATGGAAATAAATAACTAATTTTTCACTTGTTATCTTCTTAAATAATTTATAACATGTAGGCTAACAGTTGATAGAAACAAAGGAACCATCATCATTATCTGAAATGTAATCCAACATTTATTTGACTTTATCGTCGATGAACAATGGATAAAGAGAATATAACTAGTAAAGACAAATATTAGTATCATATAAGTCAACTGATGTTGTTGCTCAAACTGAATAACTAAATGTAAAAAGAAAAAAAAGAAAATTTTAAGATATATCACTTACTATGTTGTCCATTGTTTGATACTAATTGAAATAAATAATCATTATTTCACTTATTATTTTGCTAAATAATATATATCATATAGATTAAAACTTGACAGCAACATAGAAAGTGAAATTATTATTGGAAATGTGATCCAATGTTTGATTAATATCATACTGGATAAACAATGACTAAATATAAAAAAGAAAGAAAAAAAAGAAAATGTGAAGAAGATGTATCACTCACCATTTCATTCATTCTTTGTTATTAATTGTAATGAATGATCGATCTTCCAGTTGTTATTTTGCTAAATAACTTATACCATGTGAATTAAAGATAGACAGAAACAAAGGAAGTAGAATCATTATTTAAAATGTATTTCATTGTTTGATTAACTTCGTACTAGATGAACAATGAATAAATAGCCAATAACCAATATCGACATAATTGTTAACATCAATATGATAGAAGTCAATTGATGTTTGTGTTCGAATCGAAGGACTAAATATAAAAACAAGAAAAAAAAGAAAAATTAAAGGAGATATATTACTTACCATGCTATTCATTGTTTGATATTAATTGAAACAGATAATTAATCTTCCACTTGTTATTTTGATACATATTTACACCATGTAGATAAAAGATTGACAGATGTAGAGGAAGCAGTATCATTATTTAAATTGTGATCCAATCTTTGTTTAACTTCATACTAGATGAGCAATGAATAAATAGAAAATAACCAGTAAAGAGATAAAACCAATATCATATAAGTCCATTGATGTTGTTGTTTGAACTGAAGGACTAAATATAAAAACAAGAAAAAAAAGAAAATTTAAAGGAGATATATTACTTACCATGCTATTCATTGTTTAATATTAATGGAGATAAAAATTAATTTTCCACTTATTGTTTCGCTAAATAATTTATACCATGTGGATAAAAGATTGATACAAACAAAGGGAGTGATAACATTATCTACAATATGATTCATTGTTTTATTAACTTCAAACTAGATTAATAATGAACCAATAGAGAATAACCATTAAAGATATGAAATCAATATCATATAAGTCAGTCGATGTTGTTGTTCGAATTGAATGTCTAAATACAAAAGAAAAAAAAAGAAAATTTGAAACTGTATCACTTACCATTTTGTTCATTGTTTGATATCGATGGAAATAAATAATTTAGGACTGATTCATAATGTTGTTCAACAACTGTTATCATTAAAATAAATAACATTATCTAAAAAAACATTTTGAAAGAAATCAATAATAATAATGTCAATCTATTTCTTGATTAAGTTAATATTGAATGAACAATGCACAAGAAAGACAAGAAAGTTGACAAAAATCAAATATTAACATCAAATCGTTCAGCTGATGATGCTACTTAACTTAAATCAGTAAATGATAAATATAATGATAATAAAGAAAAATAAAAATTTATGCTTTATGTATTTTGTTGACCAATGTTCGAGAAAATAACGTATCAAAGAATTTAATAATTCATTAAGGATAAATATGTTCCAACAATACTTACGTATTGAGTTATTGAACATTTGATACAAATTGAATTATATAGATAAGAAAAACAATGATCATTAAGACAGAAGAGAAAGAAAGTAGAAATGCTTTTTAGATCTTTATCTTTGCGATGTATAATTGTTTTTCTCTAATTTGATAAATATTAATAACACTGTATTTAATCTGATTTGATATTTTCAAATCTGATTTTATTTGACATGAATAAGAAAAAATAAAGAGTTAAAATAACGAAAGAAACAAATCATGTGTGAACAACTATGTTTTAGAAGAAGAACGAATGAGAAAAGTTATTGGATCAATTACTTGAACATATAAAACATTGAAATCAAGTTCGTCGTTGACGTTTTGTTCTTCGTGGTACAACAGTTGAGTTTGTCCTATTAGCAAGAGCACGACGACTTTTGGAAGATTCAACATTTTCTTGTGAAGCATTGTTCATCAATGTATCATCCTGTTCTTCTTCATTTAAAATTTGTTTTCGTTTATTTTTTTTTTGAGCTTGAGGACTACAATCAGATCATGACACGTTCTCGTTGTTATTATTGCAGCTATAAAAGAAAAACATATTTAAGAAAAAAATGAATTAGAAAGATACAACTCACTCATTCGGATCATAAGCTATATCTGTACTTGAATTTGAACTATCAATTGAAGCTGTTGGTTCTGTTGTTTCATTAGTAACAGAAGAATTATGTTCACCAGTTGATTGATTCAATAAATTTGTAACTATTTGTGACTGACTTTGATAATCACCAGTAAGTGTTGTTGTATTGTTCGAGACAGAATATGATGAGATAGATGGCAGTTGAAGACGTTCTCGATGAATATCAATATTTTTCTCCTTTATTAATACTCGAATTGAGTTAGAGAGAAATTGTTTCTCACCGTGTAAACACAATATAAAAATCGAGTAGTTCTACTCTTTTTATCAAATGATAATTCAAAGATAGAATACATTGCGATAAGAAGATCAAGAGCATCATCTGGTGAACTTGTAGTAAGAATTGGCTCGAAGTCAACATAAATATGAATAATATCATCAATCGAAACCATTGTTGGATATGCTGTTGGTGGTTCCTATAAAAGCCGATGTTTTTCATTTTTATAAATAAAAACTAATATTTTTAACTCTTATAAGAAAAAACAAATAAAAAGTATGCCATGATATATTTCTTTTTGTATCCACATGTTTCAAAGACGTCTAATATTTGAAGTGAATAGTTGAGAAAAATTACAATTTTAAATAAATTATTGTAATACGTGTCAATCAATATAGACTATACAACAGATACAAGAGACAGACTAATTATAAAGAAGATATGACATCGAATAATATAAAGATCTTTTTTTAAAAACTGCAGCTTTAAATCTTATTTATGTATCTTTAATCATTTAAGTCAATCATTTATGGATTGAGATGAATTCAAACTAATCTCATATATGCTTTTAAGTAAAATCTTGAATATATATAAAAGGTGAAACTTACATTTTCGGAGAATATATGTTGAATCGTCTCTCTAAACTTTCTTCATAAGATTTTTATTAATCGAATAGGTGGTGAATCTAAAATCAAAAATTGTTTATTCATCAATGTTTGTTATTAATTTTATTTACCGCTGATGAATGCAGGACCTTCGACTAATTTATCTAATAAAACTGGAACTTGTCGTCTTACTTCTTTACTTAAGTCAATGTTCATCAACATTTTTACTTCTTCGAAGACCTATAATAGAAAACGATTGTTTAATAAAAAGAGATAATCTTGAAGAATTAGTTTACCAAGACAGCATCACTATAAGCAGGAAAATTCTTCATAACATCACTTGTTGATTGATCTCGTACGAGTTGTCGACGAAAAATAAATGTTTCTTTCCATAAACATAATTGAGTATTTATATCAAGTTGAGAAAAACTTTGTAATTGTATCACTTTTCATTGAATTACATCAGGTAATTCATTGTTATGAGGCATTATTACCATCTAAAAGAAAAAATGAAGTGATAAGTAATATTGAATTATTAGTTACCTGTTTATGTCGATCACGTGTAGCAATTGTACCACTTTTTTGTTTTACTGGTCGCCCAGACCCTAACTTGGAATATTTTAATCGAAATTCTTGAACAAGACTATTATTTGGATGATCAGCACGTGTTCGTTTTAATTTAGTTTGTAATGCATCTTTCCAAATTGTCTTAAATTCAAAAAATGATATTTTCTTCTAATTAATAAGGCAACTTACTAGATTTTCTGTTGTTGATGGTAGTCTCAGACATCGTACAAGAGCAGAACCAACAATATTATATTGTGCTTTTGATAGATAGCTAATAAAAA